CTGCATTCTTCTGCCCGCCACTTGTATCTGAAACATTTTCCTACTTGGCAGAACTACCTTGGCTCCCTCCAAAGAAACTGTTGAGGAGGCTGGAATGTGTGTGAAGGAGTAGAAGGAGCTGTACACAGATGAAAGCACGGTGAGGCAATCCTGGCTTCTGTAACAACAACTCCAGCTTTCTGCCATGTGTATACAGGATTCCATTGAACACTAATCTGAGATCATCTGTCAAAAGATCTGAACATTTTAAATGCTCAAAAGTTTTGTGGAGAGGTTGCACTTCAGGGTTTTGATTTTATCAGGGATGGCTACGTGGGGAATGAATGGCATGGGAAAGGCAAGGTGTATGCGGCTAACCTGGAGGATAAGCATAAAGCAGAAAAGCACAAGCCATCTGTGCTGCAAAGGGATCTTTCAAAAGAGGAATGAAGCTGTGCTTAGGCAGATTTGCTTCTTTCCTTCAGAACTGGGATCTTGGGTCAATCTCTGGTCCTCCTGAAAGGGCCAGTGGCTCTTTCTGATTCATGATGAACTCTGATTCTGTGCTTTTTATTTTAAGACACCCAGATCTCAATCGCTTTGGGATTCTAGTAATCCTATACCTCTGTTTCCATTAAGAGATTTCTGATATCACATGTAATCAAATGAGATTTAGATAATTTTCAGGCCATTCCTTCAAAATCCTCTCTCCTTATCCAGTTTCTCCAGCACTTGTTCAGTGACACCTTCCTCTTTCCTGTCTCTCATGTGATCTGCCTGTCTTTGGAAATAGAAACTATCAGCAGCTTTGGGATCACAGTGACTCTAAGCTGGCCACATGCACAGGGCCATTGTCTCACCTCTGAGCTGCCTCTCTTTTTGTGAAGTAGTAAACCTAAAGGAGGTGCGGTAAAAGTTCACAAAAAGCATGAAATAACAGTAGCATCTGCTTTGGCACACAGTAGGTGCTCAGCATTGCTAACTCATTTCTCTTCTTGCTTCTTCCTTTCATTTTTGTTCACTTTGGTTCCCAATATTTCTGTTTCTCTTGTCCCTGAAATAGTCTGAATGTTGCTCTTGATGAGCAAATTAGGAGAGAGGAAAAGTGAATGCCAATGAAGAAGCAGTGCCATCCATTTCTCTCATTAGAAAAGGAATCAGAAAGGAAAGAGGACAGCCGCTCTTGGGAGATGCACTGTGTCACTGGCACCGGGGCCCTACATTTAATTCTCTAGGCCTTACTTTCTCGCCCAAGGAAAACTACTGTTCTCTCAGTGGCATGCACAGACACAAGCCCAGGAAGATACTTAATGATTTTTGGCTTCCAGTAGAGCAGGAGTGCCCATTGCAAAGGCAATCCTCCTACCAATGGCATTACATGATAAAGTAATGCACTAAAATACTCAGGTCTTATGACAATAACAATCTATTTTCATAGAACAAGATATTAATGACATACTAATGATAAAATAGTGTTATCTATCTGCTTTAAATGTAGTGCTTTGAAAATACAAAATAGGGCCCAGTGTTATGGCTCAATGGTTAAATCCTCACCTTACAGGCACAGGGATCCCATACAGCCACTGGTTTAGGGTTCAGATGCCTACTGCTCCACTTCCCATCTAGCTCCCTGCTTGTGGCCTGGGTAAACAGTTGAGGATGGCCAAAAATAGCCTTGGGATCCTGCATCCACATGGAAGACTCGGAGGAAAATCCTAGCTCCAGGCTTCATATTGGCTTAGCTCAGGCCATTGAAGCCATTTGGGGGGTGGGCCAGTGGATGCAAGATCTTTCTGTGTCTCCTCTCTCCGTAAATCTCATCTGTCTTTCCAATAAAAATAAATAAAATCTTAAAAAAAAAGAAAAGAAAAAAGAAAATCAAACTGGTAAAAATATGGTGTTCAGGAACATGGCTTTATGGATGATAATTGGACCATAAAATGTAACTTTAGGGATCCTATGTTTGACATAGGAAAGGCTGAATTCTTTTTAGTTTTAAATTTTTTACTTTTCTATTTTTCAAGATGATTACATGGTTAATCGGGGTGGGAAGGATCGAGGGTTAGGGAAAAGTGGGTGTAATCATTGTTTCCAAATTTGCTATTTCTTCTTGTTTCTGAGAGAAGGGGAGAGAAAAAGGGGGAAAACTAACCTGGCCTCCCGAATGTCCCAGTACCCAGGGATGGGGAACCATCACCAGATGCCCGATGTGGTGCATGATCCAAGGGGTCTGAACAAGCAAGGGGTCTGATCCAAGGGTTCTGAAATGCTGTTCATTTCACTGATCCAAGGATGAGGCAGCCCTTCCAATATCCATTGGCTGACATAGTCGACCTTCAGTCTCCATTCACCCAAATTTTTGCTGTCATTATTTGACTGTTCTGCTTCTTCTGCTACAGTACCAAATGGGCTGCCATATTCTCCATTTGCATCAGGGTCTGTGTCCGTTGTTCCTTCTTCCAAGATCAGAAGAGATCGGGCACGTTCAGGATGGTATGGCCATAGACCATTGTTCCTTCTTTTTCACCAAGAAGGACATATTCTTGCAAGCAGGCCCAAAGACCTGGGTCAGGCAACTCGAGTCCCACCAAATCCCCCATCCCAGGTGCTCACAAACCCAGCACCCACCATGCAGATAGGCCAAGAGACCCAAGCCAGGCAACCTGAGCCCCACTGGGTCCCCCGTCCCCAGGGCTCATGAACCCAGCACCCACCTCACAGGTGGGCACAGAGATCTGGACCAGGCAACCTGAGCCCTACTAGACTCCAAGCCCTTGCAGCTCACAACCCCAGCACCTACCTCATGGGCTGGCCCAAGGACCTGATAGGCTGAATTCCTGATACATTACCTTTTCTGAATCCCCTTATTAAAACACTGAATTAGTGTTTCAAAAGTTTAAGCTTTATTCTAGTTGGTTGGTTTTTTAATTTTTTTTTTGGTCAGGAAATAAAAATGCTTTTTTATTTTCTTACTTTAAAATCAATTCTTGGTCTGCATTGTCGGTTGGCCATGAAATGTTTCATGTTGTTGTGACCATTTACTTGTTTAAGAACACAGGCCTATGATTTAGTGTTTTCAACAATGTACATTAGGATTCTCAACAAATTCATTATTATGAAAACAGGGAGGCAGTGTAATCTTTTTTTGTAACCTAGGCATAATAGACTGTGATATTTCCTGAGGGGGGGGGAATCATTGCATTTGGTTTTTAAATGCAGTCAAGAAATCAATGAATAACAAAATTGGCATTGGGAATGGCCAGTCCTTCCTTAAGTGTTATTCACAGTTAAATGACTGCACATTATTTTCTGCTTTTTCCTTGCCTCAATTTGGTTTTCCAGAATACATCCAATGTTCCCAGATTCCATGCTCTTCATTCTTTCTTTGTACTCTGTGGTGCTATCTTCCTGGAAGAGTCATAACTGCCAACTGTCTGACTTAAACAAAATGTTTATGATCGGAATCTCTTCCAAAATGATGTGCACAGGGACTGATAACAGCGTTCCAATCAGATGGCAACTTCTCCTGACAGTATGAGCTTGCTTAATGGCATTCACTAGTGCTGAATGCTCTGTTATCCATGTGTATACTTCTGGCATACCAGGCACTAGATCTTTGAGCTCTCTTACCTTCTATAAAGGGTGCCGGGAAACAGAAACCCTTCTAATTAAATCCTAAATAAAATAGGAAGTATGCAACATTGCTTAGTGAAATATTTCTCTCCTTTTCTCCTATGATGCCAATCTGCAAATGAGCACTGTCCAGTCTGGTGTCATCATTAGAAAGGACTCACAGTTGCTGTGAGGGATTGTATTCTGGTGCTTCACTAACATGTTCCTTTGTATAATGTATGGGACGACTACACACAGGAGCCATTTCTCAAAGCCAGACCACAGAACATTTCCCTAGGGAAAGGTGTAAAAGCTGACCACCAATAGAAACCAAAGTAGCAAGAACTGAGGCCCTAACTGAAGTCCCATTGAACATTTTATAAAATTTTAAGTTTATTTGTTTTTTTTTATATTGTTATTAACATTGTGTTATGTGATACAGTTATATAGGCACTGGGGATTCCCCCCACCCTTCCCCCCCCCATAGTGGATTCCTCCACCTTGCTGCCTGCAGATAAATGGCAGGAAAGGAGAAAGAGTGGATCAGAGATGTAGTGAGATCTTCTGCCTACTGCTACGTTCCTCAAACACTTGCAACAGCCCCAAGCCCAGAATTTGATCATGCATTCTCTTCATGTGAACAATATTAAAGAGGCAAAAATCCCAGTGACTCCCATATGTATACATTGCAATGGCCAAATTGAATTTTTACAGTTTCTTATGCTCAGCTTGGCTCCCAGTTGGCCTGCAAAGCTTCCCCGAGGTGCGACCTGTTAGAACCCTTCCTTTTTTTTTTTTCCAAAAAGAATTATCCCACTGTCTCTTCGATCTAGCTTGCTAGCTAGCACCAGCCCAAGCTAAAGTAACAGTGCTCGTCCAGCATTGCCTTTGTGTTTTGTTTTGTTTTCGAGGCACCTTTCACACATGTCCCCTTGTGTGACGTATTCGCCTTCACTTAGCTTCCTAATTGAACCTTGGTTGGTATGACATTCTCTTCACCTCTTCTGCAAGGATTCCTGGTAGTGTCCTCCATGCAACAGGCACTTGGTATGTGTTTTACTTCTCAGTGACTGAAAATTGGGGAAGCTGAAGAATTTCAAGGGAGTGGATGCTTAGTAAATAATACTGGTGCACTTTGCCTCCCAAGTCTTATCTGTAAGAGCCCTTCATTTCTCACTCTGTGAGGGTCAGGAATCTGTACTGTATGTATTCCTGGCCAAACGTCCGTTTCTCACTGGAAGAACTTCGGTTCGTTTCTCAGATACATATGCTGGCTTATTTGAATAGGTATTCTCCCTCCCCTCCCCCTCCTCCCCAACCTTTTATTTAAAGACTCTTAGCTCATATTTGTAGCTGGCGGCAGCTGTCTCAGGAAAAAACAAGCCTCCCCTAACTTCTATAGCCTGACAGATTTCCTGTGCCCAGGGCTGGTTTGGTCTCTTCTCACGGGTGCAGCCAGCGCCGGGTGCTCGCGCTCCCTCCCTCAGCTCCAGGCACTTGGAGCACTCGCACTTGCTCTCCGCGCCGTGTGGGGGATCCGCGCTACGGGAACGGCCTCTGTGGGACTCTGACTGGGAACGTTACCATTTTTTCTCCCGTCCGCGGATTGGCTCCCCGGGGTCACGTGGAATTGGAATCCTGAGTTGTGGCTTTTGGCACTCCTTTTTCTTTTTAAAAATCGCTTGGTCTGTTGAGTTCTCCTGGGCTTGGTTGCCTCTGGACTGAGACTGGAGACTGACGGCAACTGCCCCCGGGCAGGCTGAGGTGGCAGTAGACAATCTGCCGGGATGTTCACTCAGGTGCCCCGGACCCCAGCTTCAAGCTGCTACTATCTAAATTCCATGACACCTGAGGGCCAGGAGATGTACTTGCGATTTGATCAGACTGCAAGACGCTCTCCTTACAGGATGAGCCGGATTCTAGCACGTCAGCAGCTAGTGACTAAAATCCAACAAGGTGAGTTGCCGGCAGTGGAAGGGTGTTGGCGAATTCGGATTTCTCTTGGCTGGATTTCATGCTAACCTGGTTTTTGTCAATGATTGTTTTCATTTTACAGTTTCTGGATTTCGGTGCCTTACTGCACGTAACTTTTTTTTTTAAATGACATTAGACTGCCGATTGAGGCAGTGACAATGCTCAGCTGCCACACAGCTCAGCATGAAGTACACAGAGAACTTCCCGGGAGGCAGGGTCATAAATTCCTAAACTTACGTGTGCCTCCAGAAGGAGAAAAGTTTACGCAGTGTATATTTTAACAAGTAGTTTCCTCACCCTCTGTCCCATATGGAAGGAGAGCATTTGTTTGTTTAATGTGATAGAGGGTGGGGGACAGATGTCCACCCCACCCTGAGTATTTACAATGTCCTGACTGAGGAGGGGAGAGGCAGAATTCCAGTCTGAAGGCCACTGGGCTGACAACCTAGAAGCACATTCTCTTCCTGTTTGTATGTGTGTGTCACTAGTTGCCACTGATTTGTTGATGCTGTTTTTCTGGCACAGGATAAATATGTCTGAGCTCATCAACATAAACACCATTTGTGTGCACAGAAATTCTGGTTTCTTTGGGCAAGAGAATATTGATGGAGACTGGATGTTCTCTTTGGTCTTAAACCATATCATTTAAAAAAAAGACAGGGAGGAAGAAATCCAGCCTAGAATCCTGGAGATATTCCTAAAACTATGCTATAAATGTTTAAAAACACGCTTCTTATAGTGTAGGTCCATAGATAGAAAGATGAACATTCCTAAGAAGCCTGTGACTGATGCCCAGTTAACTAACACACACACACACACACACACACAGACACAGCTTCATACCCCTCCTGTACTAAAAAAAGAACTAAATTATTATCTTGGCAGTGCACAAGTTGACTAGGAATTTCTAGAGCCATTATAAAAGCGCAATTGCCACTTAAATCAAGGAATTGGAGGTTATAGTGAATTGCAGAGGGGAAGTTGAAGTTGGTAATCGCGAAAATCTTGTAATGTTTTAAAAAGGAACAATACGTATTCTAGTGAGCAGCGTTTGATGAGATTGTTTCCTTGGAAATTAGGATTTGTTTGTGAAGGTTCAGGAACTGGGCATGTGTGAAGGATACTGGTCCTACATACCGGCCTGATTTCAGGAAGGATGTTAGGTCATTCCATAAACTCTGTGCGCAGGTCTTGATTGAATAGAAACAAAAGTAATTATTTCCCTGTGAGTTGATTTAAAAATACATTAGGCAAAGACAAAAAAAAAAAAGCTCCATTTTGTTTTTAGAAATTTCTGACAATGGTGCTTTAGCAGTTGCCATCGTCTCTGTGGACACAGGGACTTGAAGATGTTGGGTAATCGCCTACAGCCTGTGGATGCTCCGCAGCATGTGCGTCAGGTACATGCTATGTGGGAAACACTGTGCAGATCCAGTCGGAATCACGTTACACATCTCCTCAGATGTATTTCCAAGCATTTGTTTCATTTAAAACTTTTTGTTTGGTAAGGGAGGTTATTTTCTGCAGATGATCTGAAGTAGTAAACGCATGTGCTAACATCAGAAGCCTCTGTCAGGTGCGAGAGTATTGTAAATCTGTGTATCGCTTTAGCTAATCAGACAGTTCGAGGACTCGTCATTGTGTACAGTGAAATGTTTGAGGCCAACGAATGCCTAACGATTAGAAGTGACAGTTGAGGTCTTAAGAAGCATGAATGAATGCCAGCAGTCCAACGATTCAGATCATTATTTGTGACTATCATCCAGTGATATAGTAAGACATTAGAAAAGCATATACGAAGCAATGTTACTGGGTTTATTGTCAGTGTACTGGTTCACTGTGTCGGTAGCATTTATGATAGTACCTTAGGCATGTCTCTGAGAGTACTCTAAAACTTATATTTACCCCCCCGCCCAAATTCTTAGTGCTAAGCTATATTATTATACCAACTTTAAAGATGAAGGCATGGAGGTATATAGAGTTCAAGTAGTTTACCCAGAGTCAAGTGGTAAGATCTGGCATTTGAATACAACTCTAGAACTGGTGCTCTATAATACACTAGACTGCATTTTAGTTTTTATGAGTACTAAGGACTGGAGCTATAACTCCAGTTAATTTATACAGCATGGCGAAAAGTTTTAAGCATGCTGTACCCTCTGGAGGAGGGTTTGGCTTGTATGGCTTCATCAAAACTGGTCACTCAATATGAAATTTCCCATCAGGTTGTATTTCTCTAGAGGAAGCAAAAGACTATGTATTTTGCTCCTTTTGAATAGTTAGGGCCCAATAGTGCAAGATGAAAGGATACCTTATTCACAGCCTTTAAGTATTAAATTTAAGTTTATCAAGTGCAAATTAAATTAATGGCTGTTATTTTTGTAGTTCATTCATTAGTATCTTGAAATGACAGCAGCATCAGTAAAATTGCTTGTATTACTCTGCTTTAGATCTTTCCAGGAAGATTTAGCATGGTATTAATATAATTTGGGGCATCATTATTTATAATCATAATTTCTCATGGCTGTTGGGAACAATGCAAATGAGTGAGTTGCTCCCCACTGACCTCATTATAGTGAGATAATCATTGAATGGCATGAACATGATTCAACAGCAGATACACTTGTGAGGAGAAAAACAAGGAGGAGAAATAAAGGAATCTTTGATGATGCATAGGATCAGAATTAGTTACTCAAACCCAGGATGAATCTAAACTTGCTCATCTTAGAGTGCACTCCAAAATATACATACATCATTTCTCCAGCCCTTTTTCTTTTTCAGTTCTGCAGTTGTAAGTCCAATTAAAAAGAGATGTTTCAAACAGAGGGTTATTTTGCAGAGTGAAAGTTGATCAGAAGTCATACTGCCCATAATCCCTACTCCACATTCTTGCTTGAATCAATAGGGAAATTGTTGTAGAGGAGGAGAAGAATGGAAATAATAATGGTCCTTTTTGCCCTCGCTGGTATGTACTTGAGAGTGAAAAGGAGAAGGCCTGGAGGATGAAGAGCATGGTAGGATGGGGAAAGGATGATGAGCTATCTTTCCCCATTTCTTATTGCACTAGAATACATGAAATCGGTTCTCTTTACGTTAATAAAAACAAATTTGCCATCTTACCCATTTTTCCGTGACCAGTTCAGTGCTATTAAATACACTTGTGATCTATAATATTGTGCAATCATCATCCATTCCCAGAATTCTTTCTTGCACAATTGAAATTCTGTAATCAGTACCTCTGCATTCTGTCCACATCCCAGCCATTGGAATTCACCCTTCTACTGTTTCTGTGATTTTGACTCCTCTATGTACCATATGTAGGTAGAATCTGTGTGTGTGTGGGTGTGTGTGTGTGTGTGTGTGTGTGTGTGTGTGTGTGTGTGTGTATGACTGGCATAATGTTCTCAAGATTAGACCATGTGGTAAAAAATGTCAAAATGTTCTTTTCCTGGGCTGAATAATATTCCACTGTGTGTTTATAATGTCTATACTGATAGTGTCTGCGTTTTGGAAAGCAGTCATCCTAATGGCTATGAGATGTGGAGAATTGAACTTCTTTGTCATTATTTGATGGCTGTGATTACTTTGGTACAGGTGCACCATATTTAAAGTCAACACACATGCACAGGCTATTTGGAAAATCCAAATCCAGGAGAACGTAGTTACTTGTTTTGTAAAATATTATTTAATTTTATTTTAAATGCTAAGAAAACAATATCATATAGCTAAGATTGCAGTGAAATCAAGTAAAATGGAGACAGAGATCCAGGCTTTGCTTAGATACCCCCTTTGTTACAGAACTTCACATGACCTCCTTTGCCTGATAGATGAATGCTATGGGTAGACAATGATTGTTTAGATTTATTATTGTTTTCCATTCTAGAATCCCCTCTGTACATAAGTCACTCAGTTACTCTTGAACAAAAGTGTCAAAAGCAGGGAAATGAAAACTCAACTTAATAGAATCTGAAAGGGAAATAGCAGTTTTGTTATGTGGATTAAGTAAATGGCTTATAATTTTTTTTCTGAAGTTTGTCATGGAAAAAAATGGTGAAGTAGAAATCTGGTTTTTGTTCTGTCTGTGCTATTAATTCATTATATGATCTGATCTGAAGTCACAACTTCTATGGACCTTCTTTATGTCTTGCTTGTGCTAAAGAATCTAGTTTAAATAATCTTTAAAATTTTCATCATCTCTAAAATTCCTAGAGTTTTCTAATGACAGCTATTGCATTGAGAGACAGTCCTTGTCTATATTGTCCTTACTATGCTATTCAGTGTTTATCCAGGCATCTGACACCTATGGGACACTCTCATTATCAATTTACTGGGAATGTTAGGGAGTCCAGCCTGGTGGACTATTTAAATATCAGCAAGACTATAATTATAAAGAAACTTTCTTGGGCCTCCAGGGCTCTTGGGACTCCTTCAAGTGGAGTTGTTAGGATGTCTGAACCATCACAATGGTCACAGAAATGTGCATATGCCCCATCCTCACCGCAAGACTTATTTGCTTGATAGAAAATATAAAATGTTGAAAATTTCACCACTGTAAAGGCAACACAAAGTTGGACTTTCACTGTCAATGCCTGTATGAGATTATCTTTAATTAGATAGAGCACCTGAGCTGAACCTCACTTGTGTGGAATCCGCTGGCTTTTGTTTTTAATGTCCCAGCAAATGGAAGTGGGCATGAGTGATGGGTTTTTCCTTCACGACTTCCTCATGTAATATCTTGGGAATTTGCCCAGCCTAAGTGGTGAACAGTGCCTATCAGGGTTGAATGATACCCTCACCAACTGGGTAACATCAGCCTAAATTAGCCAGTCATTTGTTCTTTTGAAACTGCCCTTTCTCTATGTTTAGAAATTTTTAACCAATTGCTTTCAAAACTGGCAGGAAAACAAATGGAACACAGAAAAGAGGCTGTGAATGTATTCGTCATATGTTACTCACATTCTTTTCTATTTTTTTTATAAAAAGGA